ACAAAGCTAATATGCTTTCTGGTTTACAGATGACCACTTCTCATGTAAAATTTTCATGTTCATTATAGTGTTGGCCAGTTTTAAATAGTTTATAGTAAAAAGTTTAAAATCTATATAAATACAAGTAAAAGAGCATTATTTCCACTCTGAAGGTAAAATTGGATACGTTAAATAGGACGAGAGCTGACACATCATTTAACAGTATTACATTTGCATTGAAAGGTAATTAATTAATCCAACAAATTGACTGATGTAATTGAATCAGATTGACCACAAAGTGCACCAATTGTTTTCTATTGATAAATTAACTCAAACATTACAGCCTTTATTTACAGAAAAAATATAATGTAAGCCAAAAAAGTGGCAAAAAATGTTATAAGGCATGATTATTTGAATTCCTGTTTTTAGGGGGGTTCATGCCATTAAGTCAATGATCGTTTGGCAGTTTAAATATATTTGACATCTTTAAATAAATAAACAGACACAAGAAAAGCGCTCAAAGGTTTATTATGTTAATACCGATAAATTGTATATTAGTTCAATAAACACTATTAGGATTGGGAACTATAAAGGATATAACTTTAAAGTTATGAGAGATACTACCTAATTTGTCGTGTGAATTTCTAAAATTTTTGAAGATACAAGTTTTTATAGTCCTCACCACCCTAAGTTGGGGCAGCCAAAGGCCGAACGGCGTATATCTAGTGCGGCCTTTGGCTGCCTCAACTTAGGATGGCGAGGACTATAAGTATTTTCCGACGTTTGAGACCACAAACATTTTTAGTTCTGCCAAAGAAGGTAGTGTATATAATAGAATAAATACTTTAGACAGGAAATTGCTTGATATTATATACATTCCAAATTAAACCCACATATTTTAAATTTATAAAATTATAAAATAAATATTGTGTCAAATTCCATGTTAACTAAAATATTCGATTGATATTACAAAAATGTAAAATCACCTAGGTAACAACAATGATCGATTAGACTTGTAATACTGGCATGTTTAGAAATTTTATTTAGCGAGATATAAATAACACGTTGGGACATATTGTATGTTGGACAGTGTTTATAAACAATATTTTACATAAAGCTGGTAATGTCAGGGACAGTGGCAGCGTCTGGTAATCCAGCTACTAAGAGGTCATGATTTATTGTGGATATTTATAGGCATGCACTGTGGATGCGATACTACCTGTTGTGGATTAACGTCCGCATTAGTGAGTACTACGACTATCCGCAGTACTATCCTGATAATTATACCAATCCGTTAATTACAAGGCTAAAATGTGGTTCGGATTCCATTATAAACTGTAGGTCCCTTAGTTGCCATTGGCTGTATGGGCTGTGTCTAAGGAACATGTTGGCCTTAGTCGCGAACAATACTACAAGATCATCTCCATTCATACTTGGCTTAAAATACTTACATTTATATGGTCTCTATTTTAAACTATTAAATTACTATTGCTGACTATAGCATTTATGTGTTTAAAATTAGTCCCTTTATACAATTTGATACCAAATTTGCATAGCCAATGAGTCGTAAAACATTTAAATCGCACAGTTAACATCAAGAGAACCCCTTGTATGTAAATTAGAACAATTCAACCTTCCCAGTTGAGTTAGAGCCAAGTGTATTTTATTATTCTACGAATCGCGGTGTAGTCTATGGAAAGACTTGCAAACTATTACACTGTTTAAAGCTTGTTATATATATATTATTTAAAAAAACCTTTGTTTTGCAATTAATAATGTTTTATGAAGTAATAGTGCTGAGTACAATATTTTTTTCTTTTTTTTTGTATAAATTATAAGTTCGAATTTTTGCTTATAATATTTTGTTTGGTAAAGCCAATTTAGGAACTAAAGTAATAAAATAAGTAACTTGAAAACTATAAGGGTTTATGCTTTGACTTGTATTTTTCTAACTACCGCATCTCGTAATTATTTTCAAGGTTATATGAAATCTTTTTCCAACTGACTTTGGTTGTATATTGTTTAGTTTGAAATGAGCTGTAACATTCCACTTAATTTTAATAAGTTAGAAAGTCTTTGACAGGTTATTGTTCTGCTAAAACTAAATGCTTTACATGTAAATTTTTTAATGTATATTTGGCTTAGCTGAACCAAACTATATATTAAGAACACATTAAGCACAGTTGGAGTAGCCTACTTCAAGTATCATGTTTGACAAGGGTGTTTTCCTGCAATTTTGTTAATCCATTAGTATTTTACGTGATTTCATTTGCGAGTGAGATTCAAAGGAAGAGCAAAACCAAAATAAACACTCTTTTATAAAACATTCTGTTACTACTGTAAGAAAAACCTCTTAAAATAAATTTCCGTTTAGGTTTTTCCATGGTTTCATTTATTATTTCATACTTTTTTTGAATGCCTGTCGGTGTTGTTTATTATTAGAGTAAACGTTAAACATATTGGCCTCAAATAACAAAGACATAATAAAAATTGTGATAAATAATAAAGATATATCATGCGTTTATGTATATATTGGTATTTCAAATAGCAGATTTGCCAGATTATGTCTGTTGTCCAAATTTTACTAAAACAATATTTTACAGTTTGAACTTAACTGCTTCACCTTTTTCTAAACAATATAATTCAGTTGTCTCAAACGTCAACTCATAAATTACTCAGACAAGTGGAAAGAAGAGATGACATGTTCATTGTTCAGCCTAACCTCATCACAACTGTCACATAACTTTGAAGTTTGTTAAAAATAATGCTTGGTCTCCCAGTTTTAACTTACTTTTTATCCACACGCTTGCTGAATATATCATCTCAACAATATTAAAAAAATATTTAAACGTTGAGACTCCACTTACAGTTGTAGTTAACTATAGGCTATAAGTTAACTCTAGTTTCAATATTACCTGTGTATAAAGACACTTTGGTATTGTCTTAATCCTTGTTTGCATTGAACGACATCCAGTAATACTAGTAATTTTATGATCAGGTTTCCTCGTGTTAATTATTATACTGTATTTGAAAAAATATTAGCAGCTCTGTTTCATGAACACGTTTACCACATTGGGCAAATAGTATGAAAACGTATGAAATTATATGTATAGATCATCTGATTATAGCAAACATTACCAGGCCAAAGAGGCATATATATTGGATACAAAATACAACATCACCATTTGTATATACATTTACAGACGATTCTTACACTAGTCATATGGAGAAAAGCCAGCGTTAATTTAGACTTAAACTTTGTTAGGGCACACAATCAAAAAGCGCATCAAGAAACACACACCAAGGAGTAAGGATACAGTATATAAATAAAATTGTTTATGGAAAGAAGGAATTTTTTTCTCCGATTTGTGTAAATGCATGTACGAAGTTGCCTTTTTTACATAAGGATGACATTGCTACTACCATACAACTAAAACTCACAGTCTACGAACCAGGAAATCTTTAGACGATGATTAGAAATGCACACAGTATTCCAAGTAGAATTCAGTTGGTTATACCCGATTTTATTATATTTCTGTGCATTATGTTATGTGTTATGAGTTAAGTTTTGCTAACAGGTATTATAGTGTGTTTCGAGATATCTACCTGCTACAACCCACATTAGAACTAGTAAACTAATACTAACTTGTAATGAAAAACTGTTTGTAACTTTCTCAGCACCAATTGGATTTTTCCAGTTTACTTTATGAAAACAAAAACAAAATATGAAGATCTTCTGTTTTTATAAAATGGCAGAAACCCAAGATGATTTTTTAACCACCAATGCGATCCAGAACCCTGCAGTAGCTCCAAAGCACCAAAAGTATATAGAGTTTTGCAGCTGTAAAAATATCATGATTTTTAATTTTTTTAATAACGCCAACATTAAAATTTTTTTTTTATTCATCAGTTGTAAATATTTACAGAGTTTTATAAAGAAAAAAACTTATTGCAGTAAATTGATCCTTATGTGTATTGTGACATACCTTGTTCACTCTCTGTTTATTAAGATATAACTTTTGAAATAACCTATACCATGTTTAGTAAACTAAAAATAACTATCCCTGAAACCATTAATAAAAAAAAAATGTAGTAAGAGTCTCTAGGCATCAGACATTCTTACTGTTGTTAAGCCAATTTTTTTTTATCCCAACATAATTTACTGAACCGCACATTATCGATTGTTAAATAATCAGTTCAACCCCTAAAGCAAAATTTGGCTTATATAAAATATATATTGTTCACTGATATATCTGTTTGAAACACAACTGTTCCTAATGCGAAAATTTGCGTAATATTTATAAAACTTCATTTTGAAACAAGTTTATTCCAAGGGAAATTTATTGAAACATATTTAAATGCAATATAATACACTCACCAATGAAGAAGATAACTCTGACAACCCGCATAATAGACGTACAATGTAGTGCAGAAGTCGCCACCATTACCATCAAAGATATGCTCCGAAATGTCACTATAGAAGTGCAAATCTTATAGCGCTCAGAGCTGTTCTGCAACATTAAAAATTCTAACTAAAATCTAGAAAGAATAAATAATCTATTATTTTGTTCAAGTAATTGCTAAAACGCTTTTATCTACTTTGCATTAAAATATAAAGCCTATTAAGGATGGATAGATAATAATCTAAGGGTCTTTTAAAAACACTAACTGTATGATAGTGAATTCATAAACAATAAAATGCTCCCTCAATATTCTTAAATGTTCACTTTTGATTTATTTTTCTTTGCTTATTACCTTATTATCCTATATAATTGAATGGACTCAGCAAACAAAGGAAAATTTCAATGTAATACAACTTTGAATCTAGACTTGAGAAAATATAGTATATGATCCACATTTAAGTCATAAATAATTATTAGATTAGCCAGCTGGCACTGGTAGTACCTTGGGTATTTATTTAGCTACGTTCATTGAATATTATTCTATCAATGTATATTACATAAATATCATATTTTATTAACTGTACATATAATAAATTATATTCCGTACTTACATCGTCGATGGCAGTGTAAGCAAGCAAACCGACAATCACCATCAATAAATTCTCTGATAGTGATCCCATAACTGCAAGTTAAACACATCGGTTACACAAAACCATCAGTTACAACTTCATACTGAACAAATGCTAATTGTGTCAGTAATAATAAGTTTTGCTGTTGTCTATATATCGACGACAACAGTACACTAAGACCTCTTTTGAAATAAAAAAATAGATATAAAGTTCTCTAGAAGTGGAAACAGTAAAGCAACTTACCAAATGGATTGGATAGTTTTACATCAGTGATATAAAAGTTAAATATTATGGAGGATAGTCTTGGTCTAGGTTGATTATTCATGGCATCTTCAGCATTAGTTTGGTCGACATTTTCCTGATTTCTGTTTTGCCGGGAAGCGTCGTCTCCACTCTCTGTGCCACCTATAATCAAAATCGTTTTGCTGTATAAAAAAAATACACTTTAATATATTTTCTAGTATTGGCTTATGTTTTTTAAACAGCTGATTACATGTTAATGTATAGAAAGTAAATGTTTTCACATATTTTTTGTTTTGTTTTGCCAACTTATACATTGTATAGCTGTGGTGGTACATACATAAGTAACTGATTTTTTTATTATCTAGTATATCGAAATGGTAGTATATGCGAAGATTAACCTAAATCTATTTCGGTATGTTTTATCATAACCATTGACATCCGCTATACTTTTTGTAGAAGAATTTACTTACACATATTGGTAAAACTGCATTAATCAATATACACCATATTTTAGTATATATTTGCCCTAGATTATAGAAAGGAATTATGCACCGTCAATATTATCTAAAAAAAAAATACTAAGGTGTTTATGAAGACAATGATAAGTGGCAACTTAGTAATCCATGCCAAAGTTTAATTTATATACTTTGTCCTCAGTTAAACTATTACAAAACTACTATGCAATTCAACAAATAAATACCAGAGAGAGAAGTTGCAGCTTGTCTATTCCGTAATAAAGTGCGTTGAAAAGTTACAAATTTCTTTAAACAGGTCAAACTGAATACAAAGATCATCATGAAGCAGATTATGTTCCACACCTGTAAACAATGTTATTCTTATGAAATATATAATGATCCTTAGGAGACTTATTATGTTTGCAAACAGCATGATATCGAGATATTTATGTGTAAACCTTAAAAACTCTTTTGAAATTTTATTTTTGTAAAAAATTGATTAAACGGTTTATAAAATCATCTTAAATGGGTAAAAACTGAAATGGGTCCATATAATATACAAACTTTTGAAACATGTATCATACTTACAATCAAAAGCAAATATATAAACGACGTACAAGTTTCCAGTGGAATAATCCATAAACATTTATCAAGTAAAATTTGATCAATGAAAGGACTCGACGAGCTGTCATTGTACATTTTTGTTTGATCCATATTGAAATTTAAAACCCAAGATAACAATTACCAACGTATCATGTACTCGTAAATTTTAATTGGGGCTTTAAATAACTAAGTTTTGTTATTTTCAATACGGTTGCTTCGTAACCAGTAGTAAGAAATACTAATTGAAAAGGCTAATATTTGTGGAAACTCTGATTTGCATACGAATCATGCTTGTCTAATAACTAGTATCATAACTCGGGGCTTCAGTATACGTGGTCCCGGATCAAGTCCTGCTTTTCATCACTAGTATTGTGATAACCGCATATGTAATAACGCCATGGCCTTCTAGGCCTTGCATCAAGCAATGTATAAACCGTTCTGGGTTTGAACCTAGTGTTTTAGAATGTAACTGTGAGTAATACTGACTATATACATCTATATCTACAAAACTAAGATTTAAATGAACATATACCTTTGTAATATTGAGTCCCTATTCAGTGATTTCAACTGATATTGTTTGAAGGGGCTCACTATCATATATTACATGTATTTTAGAATAGAAATCTGTACATTTATTACTATATATTAATGTAAGTAGTGAATGGCATTAGTTTTATCCTAAGAAATTCACTATAGCCTAAACATTACGATGCTAATCTTAGTAAAAAAATATTGTTATTGAAACCACTAAATTTAATTAATTCATATCGGATGCTCGCTTTAAATAAAACTATAAAAAGTGTGATAACAGCAAAACTATTGTTTTTACTTCACATACTTTTTTTTATTTATTTTAAATGTTTATACATATTATTGTATCAATGTAACATCAAAAAATTAACAACCCAAGCACCGGAAATTTAAACGAGATTTGGAAAGAGCATAAAATAATATATCGCAATATGCCGCTTGGACTAAAGAGAATATATAATAGCGGTGTTTTATGATTGTGTAGGTTTTTACTTAACGTACAGTAATCTATTCTGCCCTTTGGTGTGTTTTAATTTTTACCTTTGAGGAACTTTGATTGAACACAAACATGCACATACGAATTTTAAAGGGTTAGTGGTGAAACATATTTTTTATTTACAAAAGAAACGACAATACTTTAACTATAATTTCCAGTGGACACTAAGAGTTGATAATAATTCTCTACATGTTTTAGACATACTGTGCCGAGTAAATGTTATTTCAATTAATATAAATTGTCCGTCACTTAAAAAATGATCCTGTCTTCTATACGGAAACAGAGTGTAATATGTGTTTTCTAGAGGGTAATCTGCATAACATTTATTAATTGCTCGTAAGTTTGTTGACCTAAGCAAGAGATAAACTTTTTTACGTATAAAACATTCATTATAGTACAAGTATACCTTTCATGCAAGTTACTAAGCTGGTTTAAATTGTTCGGACTTTTTGAAAATATGAAACTATTGAAATTGTTGGAATATTATTTATACTTATTAATTACCTGTAAAGGAACACAGTTAGTTAAGAAGTATTGATTTATTTATACTTAAATATATTTCAGTGCTTCCATTAATTCACTTACTGTTTGTATTTAGTTTTAGTATTTAATAATAAAATTATGGCTTAAAAAAAAACTGGAACACACACAATTAGCTACGGAATTAGATATTCTCAAAGTTGTGCAATTAACCTGTCGCTATTACAGCTCCTAAACTGTACTTGAAACAGCTTCAAAGTCTCAAACCCATCACCAGGACTAAGGGGTATTTATAATCTTTGAATAAAGTATTTACTTAATCATGACAAAGCCATTAAATCCTCTAAATGTAAATTAGTCTACTTTTATAGGCAGATTATATCATTTTAATGATATAGCAAAATTTAAAAAAAAATCGTTTGTATACTTATTATTTATACTCACGGTACAGTTTAACTAACTTTACTTACAGTTGGAATTATTTTCAACTTATATCAGATAAAAAATATATTTTCTTAAAAATACAATAATTTGTAAACAATGGTTTATAATATCTAGGTCTTACTAAGTTTACTTTTGTAGGAACGTATACATTGTTAAATATTTAGTTAAATTCATAGGAAAAACCAGAAAATTTAAGTTAGGGGCCAATTTTAACCGCACAACGTTACACCAATCTACCAAATCTAATAAACAGTAATCTACCAATTTAATAAATTCAATAATTCATTCGACCTAGTTATCAGAGTCAATCTTATAAAACTGTAACTTAAATCTAATATTGGTTCAAATTACAAATATTGCTAAAATACTCATACTTTACCCCTAATAACAAGTTTTACTACAGAGTCATGTGATTTTTGTATTTAGGCGTACTAAAATGTGAGTTATAAACTAAAGTTGTTTACTATCGTCAATACTTTGAACAGATATTAATGAACTTGCGTATTTGCTGACCAGCTTGTGTATTGTGTGAACAGACGCAATTATAATACGGTCAGTGATTATGAAGTTATGATGTTTGCATAAGGTAATACTAAGGTTATGTTTGTAAGGAAGATTTACTACTCATGCCCTGCTATGTTGATTCACCATATACAGGGTGTCCCGGAACTCTCTACCAATATTTTAGGGCATTGGTCCTGGGTAAGAAACATACCTAAATATCATATTAAAATTGTCAGGAAGTCCTTAGTTACTCACACAGCCACCATTTTGTTTTTTCAGTTATTAATTTTTTTCTAAAGAATGGTTAAACATACGAAATGGAAACTTTGCACAAACATTTATGACGACTAGAAAAAGCTACAAAAAAATTATAACGATTTTTCAAATTCATAAAACAAAATGGCGGCTGTTTAAAATATTGTTTCTTAAATTACTCGAAAACCGTTGATTTTTAAAAAAATTTTACAAGAATAACTTTTTTAAGGACCGTTTTTTAAGTGACCGATGGAGGTTAGTTGCAGCGCATGCTGAAAGCGGTCACGTCTCACTAAAACTGCCATATCTCAGTTAATACTAGTCCGATCTTAAAGATTAAGGTGTCGATTGAATTGTAATAAAATTGCCTTAAAAAGTTATTTTTGTAAAAACTTTTTTAAAATCAACGGTTTTCGAGTAATTTAAGAAACGATATTTTAAACAGCCGCTATTTTGTTTTATGAATTTGAAAAATTGTCATAATTTTTTTGTCGCTTTGTCTAGTTGTCATAAATGTATGTGCAAAGTTTCAACTTCGTATGTTTAACCAATTTTCAGAAAAAAAATAAGTAAAAAAAACAAAATGGCGGGAATCTGAGTAACTAAGGACTTCCGGACAATTTAAATATGATATTTAGATATGTTTCTTACCCAAGAACAATGCCCTAATATATTGGTAGAGAGTTCCAAGACACCCTGTATAAAAAACCTTAGCATGAATTAATTTTGTCTTACATCACCTCAACATAATATACAACATAATAATGTGAAAATATAATGTTCATCTTCAGGTAATACTCATCTTTCAGAGATATATCACGTTAAATAACTTCATCGTTGTTCTCGTTGTAAGGTAATTTGTGGATGCACTATTTTTAATCACTTTTACATCTAAAGATAAAATAACTAACCGATGTAATTCCAACTGGCTAATATTTAAAAGTGTAGCTTAAAAATGCGGTAAAGCTATATTTGGGAAAATAACTAATAGCCAGTATTTAATCTCTTTGAATGGTTGACCTTTTAGCTCCTAAGTAAGCTTATAACTATTGGAAACATTCCCAATTTCGTGTGTGATTTGTAATATGAATTACCGAGCATGTTGTCTGATTTGCGGTTTCAATTGATATGATACAAATCCTTTATTTTAACGGATTAACTTAGCTTCCAGCTAAATTTGAGGTATATATTTAATGGTTGTAGCTAATGGATTTGTTTACTAATCCTGTTTTAAATGCGTACACAATGTTGGCGATAACCTTTAAAATTGTAATTTTCTACTAATAAATAATTTGGTTTCCTACATTTATTAAATAATTTATTTCCTCAGAGTAAAATAGTGGTTAAGTGTAACTTGAAGAACAATTGATATATTGAAGGAAACTGTTTAAACGGAACACATAAATCACTCTGTGGTTTTCTTAACCTTTGTTTTTACTACTTGTGCTCTTCAGGCACATTGACTTAATTGAACCACTTACGAACTAATTCGATTGAACAAAATTCCTAACCGTTGTGAAGTAAAATATTTTGTTTACTTATTAATTAATTATTAACTTCTTTGATTAGGGAGTGAGCTGGGGTAGTGGTTAAGAGCGCGGGACTTCAGTCCCTAAGGTCTGGGGCTCAAATCCCGACAAGTCACCAATGGATTTTATCTAAGTGGATTCCGCGACCCCTAGGTCTAGCCTGAAGTAAAGTGAAAAACAATCCCATTCTGGTTCCTAGCGTCCTAGGACCAAAAAACAACCCATTTTCCCGTGTCCTTTATTAAAATTGTACTGTTCATCTCACACTTTAAGCTCAGTGATGCAATCTGTACTGTACAATTTTAACTGGTAAACTTATTAGGACTGTATTAGCTGTTATTAGATAATATAAGTAGGACATTTCAAAATTCAAAAAATCTTATTTTTTGGATGCGATAAAGCGTAAAGAGTATAGTTTGAAGTAGAAAATGAACAGTTAAGTGTAAGAAAGTACTCTGTTTTTTTTTCTCTCTCTTTTAGAGAACAAGGTTATGGAGGCCTACAACACTAACTATGAAGACAAAGACATTGTTGTTGGTTGTGAGATCCAGGTTATTCAACATCTGTTGTAATTGTTTGGTTATTTTCAAATCCTCGTTAGAAATTTTTCATAAGAGTACGTTATAATTTTATGTTTGTAAACCCCAACACTGGCCTAACACAATTTGATTAACAGTATTAAGTACGCCTACTGTTAATACACTTATATTTGGTCTATGCCTCACCTCATTCTGGCATGTGCCAAGATGACTACGCCATGACCCTCCAGGTCAAATTTTAGGTATAAATTTAGGCCTAGATGGTCGTAGCATGAACACAAGCCAGTGCAATATTTGAACGCAGGAACTGAAACTACACGATC